GACTTTTTCAAATAACCCAGGCAATGCCAGGTACCCAAGCTAGTAATAAATAATATCCACAGCAAAGTTGAGTACTGTTTCCTCCTATTTTGGCTAGGACTACTGGAAGCTTATACAGACATACAGCTACAAATGACAGAGGGAAGATGGAATCCCCTGGATGTCCACACATAGTTTGTTAAAACATGAAATAATCTTTCTTTCTATTCTCTAGCTGCCTTGAGTCAGACTGTGGGTCTGTTGTACAGCATAACATAATAGTCAGTCATCCAGATGACGTGCCCATATCTAGACTTAGGATGGGATGGGCTTTTCATCTGAAGCCAAATTAGTGATTTTGACAGGATAGAATACAACCACGCAGCCCAAATTAAAAGTTATTTATTTTGCAAAAACCCTGCAGTCAGCATTTGACTGGCTGTCAACCTTCCTGCCTCTCTAATTCAGGTGGCGGGCATGCCACAGGTTGCATTAGCTTGTGCAATTAATGTGTATTTATTTATCTATCAGATTACTATATCACCTTTTCTGCAAGGAGCTTAGAGTATGCACTGAGTTGTCTGATATTTCCCAATCACTATGATATTCCAAAAGGAATTGCCTATAATCTGACGTCTTTGGCAAAAACCAGTGTTGAAGCAAAGTCTGGTCTGCCAAAATGACCTATAGAATATAATAATAATAATAATAATAATAATAATAATAATAATACACTTAATTTATATTCTGCCCTTCTCACCTAGGGTACTCAGAGCGGATTACAGCATTTACATACATAGGCAAACGTTCAATGCCTTTACAATTATATAGAGACAGACAAACACAAACAAAGGCAGAGGCTTCTTCTCTCATTTCCAGCATTTGAAGGAGACTTCCCACTTCCAGGTCAGGAAGACTGATGACCTCCTGGAAGAGGTGAGGTTAGTGATATTAGTTTTCAGGGAATGAGTTTTTTCTTTTTGTTTGCTGGGAGATTAATAAAAAAGATTAAACTATGATGCCAAAAAGCAGCGAAGCAGCCAAAATTGGCTCCTGCTTGCTTTTGCGTCAAGTGGATTTTCATACCAGGAGGGGCCTTCCCGTTACATGCTCCCAAAGGTACCACAAGAAGTGGAGGTGCAGAAGGGAAACAGATCCCTGCACAACTCTAGAAAAGAGTGTAAAGGAGGACATTTAGTGTGCATAACTTTAGTGTAACAATCGTATGAAAAATAGTCTCCTGGGAGTAACAATTATGGGCATCTGGAAAGGTATCAGACATCTTACAAACAGAACTGATTGGGTTTCATGAATGAGTGTATGTACGTACCTGTTGACTTCAAGCTCTTCTACACTGACACTATAATGCACTTTGAAACTGGGTTGAGAGTAGTGTGTTCACAAAACATATGCCCCCCAATGTGTGCTGCAGTGTGCATCAAACCAGACACAGAATGTTTAAAACTCACCAGAAAGTCCAGAATAAATTGGATAATGCACTGCTGCTGATCAGATTGTACCCTTCGCAGGGCTCAAAACCTGGGCCAAAATGCAGATGACTGATAATGAGGTAGTGAGAAAGCACTTTAAAAACTGCTGGCCGGAAGATAAACAAATACTCTCCTGGGAGACAAAAGCCCATCATTCCCATGGCAATTCTCACTTTCTGCAACATTGTTCTCACTTCCTGTGCTCTGCCACAGTCTGAGCCTGAATTGACAATGCACATCAGCACAACTCAGTGGACTGGTTAAGAAAAAACTCCTGCATTTTCCAGTAGTTGCCCAGCTGCAGATATTTCAATTCCTTGGTGTGATTGCAATTAGTGGATACTGTAGCCACCATCCTAGCCTGGAACCAGTTTCTGGTATGTTTGTGTTGACACTACGTAGCAAAATCAGTTTATTTTAATCTAATTTCAATCTACTTCTATGGCACCTGTTTAGAAGCGTCCTTATTGTGGCACCATGAATGTCATACATTCTTAGGCAAAGAATACTGCCAGTCTCTTCCTTGGTAATAGAGCATGCAGAATTTTTTAATTTGTCTCACATACATATAGTAACCAGGGCTGTGCTACTTAACTTCCAAAATCAGACAGGATCTGGGGCCTTTTGGTAATTATTAGGTAAAGGTGGGGAAACTTGAGACCTCCGAGTATTTTGAACTTCAACTCCCACAATTCCTAACAGCCACAGGCCCCTTCCTTTCCCCCCTCAGCCTCTTGGCTGAAGGGGAAAAGGAAGGGGCCTGAGGCTGTTAGGAATTGTGGGAGTTGAAGTCCAAAACACCTGGAGGGCCCAAGTTTGTCTATGCCTGTATTAGGCCCTAGCATGTATGACTTGGTCAGATTTTGTTTGAATGGTGATCCAGCTTGGTTTTACTGGCCCTGACTAGTGAACCAGGCCAGAGTTTGGAAAAGGGGCTCCGAAAAATCCCTGAATGCCCTTGTCCTTTGTTTTGTTTTGAAGTTTTAATTCAGAAAAGTCACTTTTCCTAAATCTGGTTACATTCTGGAAGGTTTGTGTATTTCCTGCTTGGCAACTCTTTACTTTGTCTTAAGTGTTTGAACATCAGGCTGAAATTGCTCTCCAGATCAAATGTCAAGCAAAGGAGAAGCTATCAGAAGCGGCTCCTTTGCCTTATTAATTGTCATCAGAAGGGAGGAGAAGCGCTCAAAGGGGGACCCAAAGCAGGATACAGGCAGAAGGCAGGCGGGAAATTGCCTGATTAACATCTCATTCAGGGAGTAAACTCTTGCCCTGGCTTTGCAGTGGGTGGGAACAAGTGTTGCTCCTTGGAGAGAATAGCTGCCCATTGGGGTCGGATCAGCCCCGCTGAGCTCCCAACTTCCCCCTCGGCCTTTGATGTTCAGATGCAGGGCTCGGAGGCTGGCTCCCCCACTGAGGGCATTAGGAGCTAATTAAAGCATTGAATTTTCACCCGGCATGTGGCAGGAACACACAGCCCTTGGAGAAGGGGACACCTGAAGCTCCGGCATAATTGGAAAGGGGAGAGGGTGAGGTCAGGAAAAACTGAGCAAATGAATAAAGAGAGAAACAAGGGGGAGATCAACGCAGATGGCGGGGGAAGCGGGAAATATTTAACTAGGGCCCTGCACCAGCGCTGGGGCAGATGCAAACTGCAGGCATGCGCTATCCTGGCCAACGCACATTTTGGTGCTTCAAACATTACACCCATCCCTGCATATATTTGACCTGGTGGTTCCAAAAATGACACCAGTTTCCCCCCATCAGCTCTAGTTTTTGTGACACAGAACATATACCATCTAGCAGTTGCTATCTGCTTATCCATAGAAAACTGTGATAACCATATCTAAGAAACTACAGCTGATGCAATCTATCCAATACAATTTTCTGACTCAGAGCCCCTAATAACCCCAGGGACAGGCCTAAAAACCAAGAAATGAACAGAATTGCCCTCCTGTTGGATTTCTTCATTTTTATTTTTATTTTTATTTTTTTGCCTAATAGGCCTACATTAACTTCTTGCTACTTTACAAATGTTAAGAATGTCTTGGCATATCACTGTGAAGTTATATAATGGGATAGGCCATAACTTGGCCTTCTTTTTTGCTTGGATAAGGATGTGACTACATATCCAATTGGTGTGTGCTTGCAAAGCAGAACTCTGAGAAATCTGGATTTCTCTCCTCAAAGCAGTGCGAGGAAAACTCTGGCTGGGTTACAGCTTCTATTTGATTGTTAAAAGCAATGTTCTTCAGGGTAATAAAAACAGAGCTGGGCAAAGTTTGTTTGTTTTGTTTTGTTGTTTTGTTTTGTTTTGTTTTGTGCAGACCTAGAAAATTTAATTTCTAGCCAGAAAAGCATTTTTCCTTTGCTAGACTTTGTTTTGCACATGCCTTAAATGACATACCCTTTCTTCCAGAGCAGGACACAAGGAGGCTTCCAAAAACCATTGCAATAAGTTGGTCATGTTCTGTAATGGGATGTTGTGCAGAGGATGTATGCAGCGAAGCTAGTGTCCTCCCACTCCTGCTGAGCCTCGTAGCAAGAGCAGAAAGAACCCTTTTTGAGTTCATGCAGAAAATATCCCCTTCCTGAAAAAAACAACCCAGCAACAAACTTGGATGCAAGTTATGCAATATCCCTGAAAAAGAATCAGACTAACAGTTTTCTTGAAAGCATACAAAATGTTAAATATTCTAGAAATTCCATGTAAACCCCATTGCTTCTTGTACTTTCCTAAGTGACAGGGTAGGAGCCACAAGGTTAAACCCTTGTGCCAGCTGGACTGAAGACCGACAGGTCATAGGTTCGAATGCGGGGGGAGTGCGGGTGAGCTCCCTCTGTCAGCTCCAGCTCCCCATGCAGGGATATGAGCGAAGCCTCCCACAAGATGGTAAAACATCAAAACATCCAGGTGTCCCCTGGACAATGTCCTTGCAGACGGCCAATTCTCTCACACCAGAAGCAACTTGCAATTTCTCAAGTTGCCCCTGACATGAAAAAAGAAGTGACAGGGTGGTGGCATGATCAGTTGCCCCTCCACCATCCTGACACCTTTCAAAACATTTGGGCAGCAGGCAACTCATAGACCAGTTGTGGCTTTTTCTGGCCATTTATTCAACCTATCTGCTGCCTCTGCTCACTGATGATGATAGGGCGCAAAGCTGAAATTACATACAGCCACATGCAAACATACAGAAAATGTTCACCTTCAGAAGAGGAGACACTTTGTCTTGTCAGTGTCTATGTTTCGGTAATACAGGAAGGTGCTTTAGCATTTTCCTGTGGCATAGGAAGCCACTGCAGTTGACATTAAATACTGCTAGTGGTGGGAAGTTAAATAATAGCTGTTTTTCTTTGGTTGTGGGTCCAGCGTTTTCCCCTCGACACCAAGATATTGAGCTATGTTTGCAAGCAATCTGCCTCCTCCTATTCTAATGCACATTCCCCATTGCAATAAACTTTTGTTCCTTCTCTCCTGGACCCCAGGGAACTGGGAGCATTCTCACACTGTGTTTCCTTTTCATTTAGAGAGAAATTGGTGTCTTGGAGCATAAAGATGGACCTCTTGCTCGCCTTCGGTTTGCTCCTGATGGCCTGTGCACTTGACCTCTCTCTGGCTGTGAACCCCTTTGCTGTGCAGCAGGCCCCTCCTGACCCTTGCTATGATGAAAAAGGGGCACCCCGTCGCTGCATCCCGGAGTTTGTCAACGCCGCCTTTGGGAAGGAGGTCCACGCTTCCAGCACTTGTGGCAAACCGCCCACCCGGCATTGCGATGCTTCAGATGCCCGGAAGGCTCACCCTGCATCCTACCTCACAGACCTCAACACCGCAGCCAATATGACTTGCTGGCGCTCAGAGACCTTGTACCATTCACCCCAGAACATCAGCCTCACCCTGTCACTGGGCAAAAAGTTTGAGGTGATCTATGTCAGCCTCCAGTTCTGCTCGCCTCGTCCGGAATCGGCTGCTGTTTTCAAGTCCATGGATTATGGCAAAACATGGGTGCCTTACCAGTATTACTCATCGCAGTGTCGTAGGATCTATGGTAAGCCAAACAAAGCCACAGTCACCAAGCAAAACGAGCAGGAGTCTCTGTGCACAGATGGGCACACTGACCTCTACCCACTGACCGGAGGCCTCATTGCCTTCAGCACGCTGGATGGGCGTCCTTCGGCCCAAGATTTCGACAACAGTCCTGTGCTTCAGGACTGGGTGACCGCCACCGACATCCGAGTGATTTTCAGCCGCCCCCATTTGTTCCGAGAGCTAGGGGGCCGGGAGCATGAGGATGAGGATGGTGGGGCAAGCTCTTCCTCCTACTACTACTCTGTGGGTGAGTTTCAGGTTGGAGGACGCTGCAAGTGCAATGGGCACGCCTCTCGCTGTGTCAAGGACAAGGAAGGCAAGCTCGTGTGTGACTGCAAGCACAACACCGAAGGCCCTGAGTGTGATCGCTGCAAACCTTTCCACTATGACCGTCCATGGCAGAGGGCCACTGCGAGAGAAGCCAATGAGTGCCTAGGTGAGACCATTTTCTGTGTTTCTTCTATGGGCAGGACTTCTAATGCCTGATGGAGTAGAACTTTTTACCCGTTGTAGCTGCTAGCCTTCCAATAAAAACAATGTGGTTCAAAAAAAAAGGTCGGCAATTGCAATTAGAAGAATGCTGTTGACCTTTTTGCAACCGGCAGTTGCATAACTGGCAGATTGTGACATGCGCTCCACAGGCAAGAGTGTTCCTGTATTCTTCTTCCTCAGACATATTGAATGGCTTTAGGGAAATAATGGGTAGATATGCATGGGTAAAAGCAAGTTATAAGGGAGATGAAATCATACAAAGTAACCAGTTGTAGGACCTCATCTCATGAGCGGAAGCAGAAGAGGGAATTTCAAGAAGTGGTGGGTGTCAAGTGACATCTGTAAACTTGCACTCAGAGGTATTTATTCTTGCTGAAATCCCCTCTTCTCCATGAAGGGACACGAGGCGCCTCCACTTTGCAATTTGACAACCCTAGTTATATTGTTACATCTTTAAGTGCATTGTGGAAAAAAGCAAATGGCAACCTCCGGAAAAAATGTCAATCCATTAATCCACTGCTTTGGAGCTCTCTATACTTATATATGTATGTATTTATTTATTTGAAAAGAGGTTTCATAGGCCATGACTGGTTCGTAAGGATAGCTGTCGTTCCTATAGTACATTTTTTCTTGGTTTTTTGGGGAAAATACTGCATTTTCACAAACAGGTTTTGCCTACCCCATTCTCATGTTGCAACAGCTTTGGGCAGGGCATCAGAATATAAGAAGAATTCCAGATAATGAACAAGAAGCCTATGCACTTCCATGGACTTTCAAGTGACTTTTTCATGTGAAACAAAAAGACAAGGTGGCTCAGCATAAAACTGACATTTGGGAGAGCAGCCCAAGAGCAGAGTTCAAGTGTGATGTGGCTTGACATCATTGATCCTTCCCTCCAAAATCCCTGCTCACTAGCTGAACATCTCCTAGCATCGGTACCCCTACTTGTGTATGTGTGTGCGTGCCCTTTGGCAGATGGGACTGAAAAGATGAACAAGAGGAGAGAAAAGGAATGCCGGCCCAGAGTTGGGGGAGGGCAGCAGTGTCCCTTTAAGATGTCCTTGATGGTCCAGCCACACAAAGGCAGCTTAGCCGAGCTGCCGTGTGAAAGTTTTCCCTGTCGGCTCCTTCTCCTGTTTCCCCCTTTCCTCTTGCAGGCTTTGTGCCTTGGGTGAAAGAGCCCCTCCATCACACGCCTCCAAGGGGGCTTAGCAGCTGAAAGCTGGATTAGCTCCCCAAGCGTTCCCCTCAGTGCCTTTCAACCGTGACATCTCACCGGCCAGCAGGAACAGACGCAGCAATTAGTACCAATTAAAGGGAGAGGGCCCGCCTGGGAAGTCCCTATTGCAAAGCTAGTTCAAGCAGGCTTCTCCTCTTCCTAGGCGAATGCACCTTGTGCACCTCTCCTTGTTTCTGCCACAATGCTGGAGATCACTCAGAAGATCCTTCAGTGGGAGGCATCTTTGCTTTCCCAGGTGGAGCGGAGAAGCCTAGACCTAGCAAATTTGGATGGTAGATGGATCTGAATCTATCCACTGCTTTTTTGGAATACAACTCCCAGGTTCTGAAGATGGGAGATTCTAAAAGTACAGTCTTTTGAAAAAAGGACAGCCTTTCCAAACTCTGCCCATCGGTCTTCATTATAATCTTGCTTTGCAAAGGCCAGCTCCATCCTGGAAGGAATGACTGCCTTTTCCAGTGCCACACTCGATGTCCTCAGGCATGACCTCCATGGTCATGGTTCACCTCCATCTTCACTAAGAAGCTTTGCCAGATGCTGATGGTGTCTGTACTTTTTAGAGCAGGGATGGTGAACCTGCAGTCCTCAATCCAATTTCAAAAACTCCAAGTAGGTAATCGGCAAAGATGTCAACCAAACAAATCTTCCACCTTTCTGGCAACTTCTTGAGGGAAGAGGGGGAGGAAGAGGTAGTCAGATGATGCTATTACCTTGCCACCCTAAGCACAACTGGCTTGAAATTCTAGCCTCTTCAGATCCAAGCTTGATAGAAGTCAGATTCCTTAAGATCCTCTCCACCTTGCAAGTGATCTACCCAGGAGGACTCCAAGCTAGCAGGACTTGCAACAGGAACAGAAGGGACAGAAGGCTAAAGCTAACACAGTGGCTGGGGCAAAGACTACCTCCTCATCGACGAGAAAGTCCTGGGGCTTTTCGGTATATTTGAATGTTTCTTTAACATTCTGTAGTGCTTTGTGTTTAAAGGAGGTTGCAATGTTTACAGTTAGTTGAAGACTTTTGTAGTCATATGCCATATTCAAAATGGTGTGATGTACATAAATTCTGTGATGAGATCTGCATCTATATGACATGACTTTATAATTGTTCTCTCTTTTAGTTTGAATTGGGGTGGGGGGGGGGGGGGGAATTGCCCAGAGGCAGCTTCTGTGGAATCACCATGTCTCTCTCCATTGCTATAGATTTATAGCATATCGGTATGTACTGATTATTTCATACTATAGCATTTTGGTTGCCCTTGCATTAAGTGAAGTGATAAATGATTTGGAAATAAATTGTGAATGTCATTTTCACTTCTGCTATGCTATTCATAATGTTGAAGCAACTGTCAGTTACTAGTCAAGCGTCTTGTGCTTTACCTCTTGAAGGCTCTGTGGACCATGAACCTTAGCATCTGGCACTCATATTTTGCAGTTTATAAAAAACTTGCTTGGGTTCCCAGTGCTGCCTGGGTTATTTGAAAAAGTCTAATTTTAATTGTACAAAATTCATCAGATTGTGGGTGAACTACAACTGACATCTAGCCAGGTTAACTCAGAGAAACTCCATCAGTACTTAAAATGTGTTATGTTGGGCAAGTTTGCTCTAGATGCATCATCAGTGGGGTTCAACGTGCTCTCTGGCTACAGAATAAACTACAAATCCCACTGTGGTGAGTCAGTCCCTTCAAACCTCTCCAGCAGGTTGAGTTATTTATAGAGGTTCTGTGTGCCAAGTTTGGTCCAGGTCCATCATAGGTGGAGGTCACAGAAAGAAAAGTCAGTTCCCCCCAAACCCCTCCAGTAATCAAATTTCGGCATATCATGTGTGTGTGCCAAGTTTGGTCCAGATCCATCAGTGTTTGGGTTCACAGTGCTCACAGTGCCATAGGAAAGGGTTAAGGGAGAAGCAGTTGGTGGGATTATGCAAATTCCACACCAACAGATAGATTAAGAAACACTGGGATGCCTGTGGTGGAGAAAGCACATACAATCTAGGATGAAATTGTCCCCTTATGAAAAGCCTTCACTTGGCTGGCGGGGCTCTTGTACATGTTCATGGTGCTCATGAACATGTACACCAGCCAAGTGACCTGCAATGTCATTGGAGAGAGGACCATTGGTGTCCCCTGAGCAGTGGGAGCTGTACCTGTTTGTGAAGGCAAGAGCTTGTATGTGTAAGTGGACACCCCAGCCACAGAAACACGCTTGTGTTTTCACTTGTATACTGTGTACAGATATTTCATGTTTGGGGACTGATGCTAGTAGAAGTGTGAATATGCTTCCTGACCTGTTTCCTCTATCTACCCTCTTTTTATTTATGCAACTTTTAGAAGAGCAGCTTATAGGCAGAGACAGTATTTATTATTTATTTATTTATTTCATTTACTTATACCCCGCCCTTCTCACCCCGAGGGGGGACTCAGGGCGGCTTACAGAGAAGGCAGAATTAAATGCCTAAATCAATTGACAAAATACAAATACAACAAAAACAATTCAACAGTTAAAGTTAAAACATCAGTACATAATAAAATATTAAAACAATCTCATGCTCGGGTTCAGAGTCCATATAACCATTCCATTCCATTTGTCGTTGTCTGTCGTCAGATCCTTAATTTAGCTGCCAGTGTGTCCAAAGGCTTGGTCCCAGACCCAGGTCTTCAGTTGTTTCCTGAATGCCAGGAGGGAGGTCGCCGATCTAATCTCCCCGGGGAGTGAGTTCCACAGGTGGGGGGCCACCACTGAGAAGGCCCTGCTCCTCGTCCCCGCCAACCCCGCTTGTGAGAGTGGTGGGGTCGAGAGCAGTGCCTCCCCAGAAGATCTTAGGCTTCGAGGTGGGATGTAGCGGGAGATCCGTTCAGACAAATACACTGGGCCGGAACCGTATAGGGTTTTATAGGTCAAAACCAGCACTTTGAATTGTGCTCGGAATTGGATCGGCAGCCAGTGGAGCTGGCGCAACAGTATTGTTTTTGTAATCTTTGCATAGCACTTAGAACATATAGGAACTTCATAAATAGTATGGTTGAGGTATCATGTCAACATAAGGATTGTCAACATTAGCATCACTACTTCCCTATGCTGCTTTTGTCACATATGCGCTCTCCAGCTGGATCTAAACTGCCATATAGTGCAGTTTCAGAACTGTTTTAATATGGCAATGTAGACTCATATAATCCAGTTAATGCAGTTAATCTGCATTTCAAATACATTACATGGCAGTGTAGATAGAGGTTGATCTGCACTGCCAAATAACGCAATTCAAACTGAATTATTTGGCAGTGTAGGTGCAGTCCCAGCCTCTGTCTATATTTGCTTTACTTCACTTGCTAATTCTGAGGGCCCATCTACACTGGCAGACAATCCAGTGTAGAAGGCACATTAGCCTGGAGCATTCAAGCAACACGACAGGGTAATGCATTCAACCTGGAATGCCAATCCAGGTTTATTCCAGGTTTAAAAGATACCTGCAAAAATCCAGATCTTCCAATAAGTCAGAGGGTTACTCCAATGTGTGGCCCACTCCTATAGTAGTGACTCCTTCTAGTATTGCTACTTGAAGCTGCCACGTGAGTTGTTGGTGTAATGAAGCCATGCCCAAGTAGTGCCGAAGGTAAACATGGTGTTGGTGGTGTGCTAAAACTATTCCATTAGGATAGCTTTGGTGATTTAGAGGAGTAGCATTCCCCTCTCTATAATGGAGCGATT